AATGGCCCATGTTCATCTTTGGAGCCAACTGTAGGGTCCTGGAAGGGCCACGGACTCTGGAGTTAGACCCAAGTTCAGATCCTAACCCTATCCTGCTTATGACCAGGATCACTTTAGGCAAGTGTGTCTGCGGGCTTCAGTTTCCTCTTCTGATACTGAAAGGGTTTGTCCTAGATCATCTATTTGGTCTCTCCCAGTTCTAACATTCTATGGTATAATAGACCCTAGGATATTCTATCAGGGCCATCCCTGAAGGTGCTGAGGCCTAGGCCACACTGCACGTGTGTCTATGCCCACATATTCATATCTAGGTGAAACCTATTCAAAATGAACATCGAAGGCCTCATGAGAGTTCCCCCTCCCGGGCTGGTATTGAAAGAGGTAGGGTCACTTCTGAGTTCTGGTCTTGATTTTTTCATTAACTCACTGCATGACCCTGAGCCATTCAATTTCCCTGTCTAAAACTAAGTTTCCTCATTTTCATTTAGAATATCTATTGGGGGGGGGGGGACCTGGAGAGGCGATGATGTAAAGAAAAGTTTATCACCAGCTAATTACCTGAAAATGAAAATAATAATACTTGTACTGACTACCTTAGGAAACTCACTTCTCTCTGAGATTCAGTTTCCTCATCTATAAATTGGAGGCAATATCACTTGGGCTGTATACCTCCCAAGATACTGGTAAAGAAAGCACCATTGGAAACCTTAAATCAGTTCAGAAATGTAATTCATGAATACCATCATCTTCTTTGTTATTTATTATTGTTGCTGTTGTGGTAACCCTTTCCAACAATTTGGGGAGGGGAGGGCAATTGGGGTTAAGTGATTTGCCCAGGGTCACATAGCTAGTATCAAGTGTCTGAGGCTGGATTTGAACTCAGGACCTCCTGACTCCAGGGCCAGTGCTACAAACTAACAGTGCTACCTCCACCACTTCTGCTTCCTTGAGTCCCTATCCATCTGCCAGTGGAGCAGAGACCCCCAAAATTCAAGGTGCAGGGCATCTAACCAGGAAAAGACTCAGAAGGAACAGTTGTGTTTTAGTGTATGACTTAAGGCTCTGACCACTAAAAATCAGTTCAGTGTGAGGTAATTGTGAGTGACTCTTTCCAATCAATTTGGTGTGACAGAAAGCAGCTAGGAGTAAGGAGATCTGGGACCGGCTCCCAACTCTGCCTGAAGTGATCCTGGTCATGAGCAGCATAGGGTTAGGATCTGAACTCGGGTCTAACTCCAGAGTCCATGGCCCTTCCAGGACCCTACAGTTGGTTCCGAAGATGAACATGGGCCATTTATTTCTCTTCTCCCGATCATTTCTGCTGCCTCATGTCGCTCTGTGCCTCAGTTTCCCCATCTGGAAAAAGATGGCATTAGACCCAGTTCACAATTGATAGATTTATGCCCTGACTCCCAGGCTTCAAACTAACAGTAGGACCTCACTCATGTCTCTTGAGAGAGTTATGTGGGTAAACTAAGCCTCATTCTACTCCGAGATGCTAAGGGAACCATTCAAAGGAGGTGTCTCCTATGTTCAAGCTCTCAGACACTGGTTAAAAATGAGCATCTGGGAAGAGATGAAATATATTTAAAATGCCCTCAAAAACTTGGCATTCGTAGACACATTCAGGAAGTGTGTTCTGAAGGTACCACCCACAAGTGTCCCCAGCCCAGAGCGGCCCAGGCCAACAGAAACATCCATTCGTTCTGAGGCCAGCCACTCCCACCTCTCCAGTCGGCTTTACAGGCATTTACTCTCCCAGGTTCGTCCAGGGCTAGCTGTTGGCTGAGCTCAAAGAGGCCACAGAAATATCTGTTCAAGTGCCTGAAAAGGGCTTTCATTATTTCCGCCACAGCAGACAGTTCACCGCTTTTTCAGCTTGGGTTTTCAACTCCAATGACCTGCCTTCCAAACGGCAACCCCAGCCAGGGTCCGAAGGAGGGCTCAACCGAGGCATGTTGCCTTATGCCTTTATTCCCATTCCGTCCTCCTCCTCCACCTCTTCCTCTCTCTCTCCCTCTCTCTCTCTCCCTCTCTCTCCCTCCCTCTCTCTCTCTCTCTCTCTTCTCTCTCTCTCTCTCTCTCTCTCTCTCTCTCTGTCTCCCCCTTCTCTCTCTCTCTCTCTCTCTCTCTCCCTCTCTCTCTTTTCCCCCACTCTCTCTCCTTCTCTGTTCTCTCCTCTCCTCTCTCTCTTCCCCCACCCTGTCTTTCCTTCTTCTTTCTCCTCACTCCTCACTAGCTCATGCTCACTTGGTCTCTCTCCCAGAACACAACAACCTATCCCTCCTCTCTCCAGCCACTCCTTGCCTCTTTTCTCTCACCTTTCTTTCTCTCCATGGTCTCTATCTCTCTCTCAGATTCTATTGCTCATCATTTCTGCATCAGGTTGACTATATTATCTTATTGAGTCTGGTCTTGCTGTCTAAACCCTTGCATAGAAGTGGATGCAAATTATCCTGGTTGTCTGCCTTGCCTCTTCCATAGTCTGTAGCAGAGAGGGTGTTGGGGGAGATGAAAATACTCATTCCTCAAAGGATTTAAATTTAAAAAAAAAAACAAGCCCGAGACGCTCAGCCCAATCAGGGAGTCGCCTGCTCACAGGAAGGGACAGACTGGCACCATCATTACCGTACTGTTTTTGCCAGAATCCCAGTAGGCCTCAAAGGCAAACTAATAAGTGAAAATGCAAGAGGCCTTTAAATCATTGTTGTTGCTAATGAGGACCGCTAATGTTAGTAGTTAACTTTTATGCCATTTGCCCCCCTCTGAGCCAGAATGTCATCTTCTAGTTATGCTGAGATGGCCTAAGTTTGCATAATGAGGTGAGAATCACTAACTCAACACACTTACCTTCAGATTTTGGGTAGGCCTCAAACTTCAGAAACTGGGCCTTGGGAGCAGCCAGGACTCTACCTGGAAGAGTCATGGGTACAGATGCTTCCAGCCAGATGCTGATCCATAGAATAGAATAGAATAGTCCATAAACATTTGTTAAGCACCTGCTGTGTGTCCAGCACTATAGAGCATAGAATATCACATATATATCACAAATATAAAAAAGAAAGCCAATCCCTGCCCTCAAAGAGCTTACAATCTAATGGGGGCAAGACAAAAGGAAGCTGAGAAAGGGAGGGGGAGGGACAAGTGAGGAACATGATGGAGAAGTCCAAAGGTATGCAGGCCATTGGGAAACAGAATAGAATAAAATGATAGGACAGGATGGGATTTTTAGAGCTCAGCAAAATCTCCAACCTCCTCATTTTACATACGGGGAAACTGAGGCCCAGAGAGGCCCAGTGACTTCCCCAAGGTCACACAGTTAGCTAGTGACAAGGCTGAAACTAGAACCAGGTCTTCTGACTTCCAGCTTAGGAATTTGAGCACTTTCTGCCCCACATACTTCACCATTTGTCATGAACTGTTTCCTGGGCATGGTTCATCTCACCATTCAACAAAACAATTCAACAAACTTCTATTAAGTACCTTGTTATTGTTCAGTGGTTTTTCAGTCGTGTCCTATTCTTCTTGGCCCCATTTCGGGTTTCTTGGCAAAGATATGGGAGTGGCTTGTCATTTCCTTCTCCGGTTCATTTTACAAGTGAGGAAACTGAGGCAAACATGGTTAAGTGACTTGCCCAGAGTCACACAGCTAGTAAATGTTAAGTACCTACTATTCACAATACACTCTGCTAGAAAATAAGGGGAGAAAAAAGGTAACTGAGTTGTGCGGGAGGGGAGGCAGGGGGTCTCTGACCTCCAGGAACTCTCAGGCTGGTAGAGGTGCCTAGACATGAGGATAAATAAGTCTAATGCCAGGTAGAAGAGGATATGTAGGTAAAGGCAATACATAGTGGGGCGAGAGAGAGAGAAAGAGAGAGAGAGAGAGAGAGAGAGAGAGAGAGAGAGAGAGAGAGAGAGACAGAGAGAGAGAGACAGAGAGAGAGGAAGGAGGGGACAGAGAAGGAGGAGGAGAGAAAGAAAGAGAGAGAGGGAGGGGAAAGGAGGAGGGATAGGGAGAGAAATAATATTATTTCTATTTCAACACTTCACAGAACCATAATATTTTATATAGAACTTTAAAGTTTGCAACTTATTTTCCTCACAGAAGCCCTGTAAAGTAGTTAGTATTATCATCCCCATTTCACAGATAAGGAGACCAAGGCTCAGAGAGATTTAGTGGCTTGACCAAATGAGTACATCGCAAAGCCAGGACTAGAACTCAAATCTTCTAAGTAGTCTTCATTTCCAGCCCGAGGAAAATGAGGGAATAGTATCATATGCTCCTTTTGTATTGTTAGTAGGGCCTAGCACTGGGAGTGCCCAATAAATAGCAGCTGAATTTAACTGAACTTTCTAGAACTGACTTGAATGAGCAGATATCCCCACCCCTCCCTTGGACAGACAGCATGATATGATGTAAGGACCCTCGGGGAGGAATAAGGAGCTAGCTGTGTGATTCTGAGGAGGTCACCTAACCTCTCTGTGCTTCAGTTTCCTCATCTGTGAAATGAAGATCCCATTCCAGACGTCTATGTATGGCAGATATTATTCCTCAAAAGCCCGAATTCTCAAAGTGAATATATATTTACTAGAATAATAATCTCTCCTAAATAGGTCATTGGATGACAACTTTTATTTTACACTAAGGAAACTGAGGCACAGAGGGGTTAATTGGCAAACCAGCTATTATTATGAGGATAAAATGAGGTCATGAATATAAAAGTACTTTGGAAAAGTGGAAAGCTCTGTTCCCATGTCAGGTATTATTTGGAGTTCCATATGAGTAACTGGTTCATTTGGAGGGGTGGGTTAATCTTAGGTGGAGACCTTGGCAAAATTAGCTGGAGCATGTTACTTCTCGGGATGCTATATATAATGTTGCTAACATTTGCATAAGGCTTCTCAGTGGAATGTGTTCAAGGAGTTCAGTGAATTCAGTGAAAAACGAATTGGCTCTGGGGTCTGGGCCACTGTTAGCTTTTGAGACACTGCCCTCTTGTGCTCTGTAAATGGCCAACTGTGTAGTCGTCTCCCTGCGGGAATCACGCAACATCTCAACCATGAATGACAGCCTCTGCTGAGCTTAAATCTGCTATTTAAGCAAGTGCCTCTCTATCTCTACTGCTGTTACCCGAAGAGAAGAGTAACAGGGAGACCGGTGGATTCCAACTCCTTCTCTAAAGACGGCAGGTTCTTATTTCTGAGCATTTTCTATTTTGGGGGGGAAGAGGGATAATGATGATGAGTTTAAATGTAGTGGGAATAGGCTAAGAACTGCCTAAGATTATATTCAGATATATTTGGCTGACAAATGAATCGTCTGATTAAATCTCTCTCTCTCTCTCTCTTTCTAAATTTCAAATCCATGACTAGTAGAATTATTCTGTTGTTATTGTTGGTTTTTTAAGAGAGAAATAGAAAGCTTATAGCATAGGAGAAGAGAGAATACCTTTCCAAACAAGTTTTTACTGTTTAAAAAAATGATATTTAAAAGTTTCCTGAAATTTTAAGACATTTGAGAACATTTAAGAAATTTGAGACATTCAGAGTACATGCCTTCGAGGAAGTCCGATTTATTCCTACTCACAACCAAAATGCTATCTTCTGTTCATTTAAATCTGTTTAGAACAAAGACACAATTTTATTTATAAGATGTATTTGGGGGATTGAGAATTGGAGACTGGGAGATGGTTACTGTTTAGAGCCAATTATTTGATGATATTGTTTGTGATGATGCTGTATCTGGCAATATTATTTGGTAAGCTTCTCATGATTAACCAGTCCTACCAAAGATTATTCCATTCCCTCAATGACTTGGAAAGAAATGGTAATGTGCTAGTGGTGCTAGTGGTGGCAGCCTTTTAGAATCCCAGGTGAGTCCAGTGCCTGGCTCCATCTCCTCTCCCTCCATCGTGGGCTCCCCAGAGCCTGTGCCTGACTCAGGACAGGGAGGTGAGGGTTTGGCATCTGGATACACAATTAGGAAATTCCAACTCAGTTGTCATATAGGAGGGTGGAGATCAGGACTGGTCACTAAGTGCAGTTAATAGGGCACTGGACTTGGAATCAAGAAGATCTGGGTTCAAACGCTATCTCACACACTTACTGTGTGAATGACTTTGGGCTAGCCGTGGAATCTCTCTATGCCTCAGTTCCTGATCTATAAAAGGAGAGGCTTGGGGTAGATGGCTTCTAAGTTCCCTGATAGCTCTCTAGCAAAGACCATAAGATGCTAAAAGATCTTGTAGCCAGTCAGTATTAGCCATACCTGGCCGATGCTCCTGCAGTCATCCAGGGTGGACACTGCAGCTTGGAAATTAACGCTATCAAAAACCCAGGGGTGGGGAACCTTTGGCGCCGAGGCTGCATATGGTCCTCTAGGTCCTCAAGTGCAGCCCTTTGACTGAATCCAAACTTCATAGAACATTTCAGTCATGTCCAACCCTTTCTGGGTTTTCTTGGCAAAGATACTGGAGTGGTTTGTCATTTCCTTCTCCAGCTCATTTTACAGATGAGAAAACTGAGGCAAACAGGGGTAAGAGACTTGCCCAGGGTCACACAGCTAATAAGTATCTGAGGCCAGGTTTGAACTCAGGTAGTCTTAACTCCAGTCCCAGCACTCTATCCACTATGCCACCTAGCTGCCCTAGTGACATAATATATAGATAGCTCATCTTGAAATCAGAAGACCCGGGTTCCAGTACTGCCTTTGAAAATCCTGACTATATGGCCCTGGGCAAGTCACCTTACCTCAGTACCCCCCAGGCAACTCTCTAGGACTTGAAGTTTCAGAGAAGTTGACAATCTTCATTAATGATGGCTCTCTGCTGGTTCTCCCCTTACTTGTCTGACCATTCCTCAGTTAACCATGGGTGTCCCCCAAGGTTCTGTCCCTCTACACTATTTCATTTGGTGATCTCCCCATCTCCCATAGATCCAACTACCATCTCTATTCAATTGATTCCCAGATCCAGATATCCAGCTTTCACTCTCTCCCCCAGTCTCTCATCTCTGACTGACTTTCAGACATCTCAAACAGGATGTCTTATAGACATGTTAAGCCCAACATGTATAAAACTGGAGTTATTATTACGACCACTGCCCCACCCAAGCCTCCTCTTTTCCTAACTTCCGTATTGCTGTCTAGGGTACCATCACCCTCTTAGTCACCTGGACTCTCAACCTAGGGGTCATCCTCAATTCTTCACTTTCTCCTTCACTCCCCATAGTCAGTCAATGGCCAAGTCCTCCTTCTTCTACCTTCTTATCATCTCTTATATATACTCCCTTCTCTCCTCTGACACAGCCACCACCCTGGTGCAGCCCTTTATCACCTCAAGCCTGGACCACTGCAAAAGCCTGTGGGTGGGTCTCTCTGCCTCAAGTTTCTCCCCACTCCACTGGTAGTCAAATTGATCTTCCTAAAGCACAGGCCTGATCATATCAACAGTGCTCTCATTGTCCTGGCAAAGCTTTTGAATGCTTGTTATGGCTCCCAAGTCATGATCAGGCATCATTGGACTTTAATGAAGGTTCAAATCAGAGAAGCTGGGGAAATCTATCATGAAAGTTTGCATCACAGCACACTTAAGAAAGCATAACCTATTAGCAAAAAGGCAACCTCGATCCTGTAAGGGAAAATCATGCCTGACTAATCTGTGAAAGATTTTCAAAGAGGCTAATTAAGCGCGTGAACAAGGAGAGACAAGTGATTTGAATTTATATAGGCTTTCAAAAAGTTTTTACTGGATTCTCTATTAAAGCCTATTTTGTAAACAGTCAGTCACCTTTGGGTTAAGGAAGAATATCACAGATAAGTAAAAGACCTGAAGATAAAAATGAAGCTCTGGGTAATTGGACCTGAAGAATATAAACTCCCTGAGGCCAGAAACAATTTCATCTTTGTTTTGTGGCCCTAGGGCCATATTCTGGTTCGGATAGTCTCCATGTTTGCAAATAACACTGAGTAGTTTTATAAATGAGCTAAAAAAATGGTAGATGAGTTTCAACATAGGCAACTGTGATGGAATGCATTTAGGGGAAAAGAATGCAATCTCTACTTCTGCATACAATGATGGCGCCCAAACTGTTATGGAGGTAGAGCACAAGGAAATAATTCTGGGAGTTATTGTTGTCTCTGCTAAAGGGAGCATGTAGAGGCTAAGAAAATGTGAGGTAACTGGTAGTGGAAGTCTTAGAAAACAACATGAAATCCTCAGTTCTATCTATATATTGAACCTTATCGTATCCGTGTTGTTCAGTCGTATCTCACTCTTCATGACCTCATGGACCAAATCACACCTATACTGTCCATGGGGTTTTGTTAGCAAAGATCCTGGAGTGGTTTGCCATTTCCTTTTCCAGCTCATTTTACAGATGAGGACACTGAGGCAAACAGGGTGAAGTGACCTGCCCAGGGTCACCCAGCTAGTAAGTGTCTGAGGCCAGATTTGAACTCACAAAGATGAGTCTTCCTGACTTCAAGCTTGGCACTCTATGCACTGTGCCACCTAGCTGCCCCAGAAGGAATAGGGATACCAACTTAAGATACTTTAGTGGTTGGTAACGCAGAGATGATGTACTGAGGTCTTGACTGGGGTCATGGCCACAGAAACGGGGGGGAAAGGTTTGAACCTTAGAGCAACTATGGAAGAATTATAGCGGGATGTGATGACATTCATAGCATTTGGAGCAGGAAAGAGCCTTTAAAAAAAAATCCAGTTCAACCCTCTTGTTTTATAGATAAAGAACCCCAATTAGTTGGGGGGTTTTATTGTTGTTGCTGTTTTTTTTAAGCCCAGAGGGCAGTTAAGTGACTTCTGGGAGTTAGAGTCGGAGACAGGATTTTGTTTATCTTCAAACAGTCTGAGATTTAGAGCTGAATGTGACCTCTGAGGTCAGCTAGTCCAACCCTCCTCTTTTCCAAATAAGGAAACTGAAGTCCCAGAAGTTTTAGTGACATGCCCAAATGAGAGATCTGGAGCTCAATCTTCAGCCCGATTCCTGTTCTGCTCTTCTCATCAGCTCATTCATTCCCAGGGAATCTGCTCTTCCTGGGGCATTCTCTCTGGCTCTCCACTCCCTCGTTCATAGTGCCTCTGTTCACCATCTATAGAGGAGTTGAAAGTTGGCAAAAAAAAAAAATTATATACAGAAGGCATTAATAGCTTAAAACTGCAGTAAGACTTTTGGGACACCTCATATGTATAGTATGATCTCATTTGAGCCTCATGACACTTGTGAGGTACAGCTATTAATCATCCCCATTTTACAGATGAGAAAACTGAGGCTTCAGAAGATTAAGTGATCTAATAGCTTATAGGTGGCAGAGGCAAGATTCAGAGGTTTCCCCAGCTCTGCCTGCCTCTACCTCTGTCATTCTATCTGCTACACAATTCCTTATCTGTGGGCAGCAGAGAAAGCTGGAAGCTTTTTTATGCTGAATGATATTGTATCTTTATTTTCACAAGTAATTTTGTATCATTTTTTTCCTCATTTCAGTAAGAATTTTCAGTGATTCCTCTTCTGAAGAAGAAAAGACTTCAAACATTGGAGCAGACAAGGAATTCTTCTTCAGGTAAGTTACCTGTCCTTTAAGAACAATTCCCAAGTTCCCAAACCACAAAGAACCAAACAGAGGTATGACTGTTGTTCATTTAGTTGGGTGTTTCTTTTGCCAGGAGGACCCTAAGAACATCCACTAGGAAGAGCTGCACTAAGAACATATTGGTAACTGCTGCTTTCCTAATTTAATAGAGTGCAAAGGGACAGACCTTTTAGAGAAATTGGTGAGATTTTTGAGAGATGGAACAAGAACCGTGAAATTGGTCCTTCAAAGGATTCCCAGCATCAGTTTCATGATACTAATAAGCACAATACCTGTTCAGCTATTCTTATGAGCTCAATCACTCCCAGGAAATCTGCTTCCTAAAGAATAGGGGCTTGCTTTCTTAAGTTCCTCTCTCTAGCCATCTGAGAGGTAGATGGGTCTAGTACAAAGAGCCTTCGGTTTGCCATCAAAGAAGCTGGGTAACCTTGGGTGACGTTGGTCAACTCATTTTCCTTCTCTGACCTCAAGTATCTTCATCCAAATAATGAGAGGGTGGGATAAGAAAAACTTCTAATATCCTATCCAGCTTTAAATTCACGACCCTATCTACGATTTTCTGATCTGCTATTTCACAGGTAAGTGAAGGTTGTAAATGACGTGCCCAGGACGTGGGAAAGTGATCACATCTATTCTTCATCTAAAAGTTCACAACTACCTAAATTATTTGGGCTATTTAAGGATTTCACAAAGAGAATTCATAATCTGCTAGATTTTCTATCCTGGTTTAATTTTGGAAAGGTGAAAAATTGGGTCTTTTTGACAGATTAATGGCAGCATTTTAAAATTATCATTTAGTTCATGATAGAAACTAGAGCTATGATTTCACTGACATAAGGAACTCTATCAATGCAGGTCAGACCTTCTCTACAATTTCTAGTTTAGAGTGGAGATGTAAAACAAGGGGCTGATTAAGGTACCAGATCAAAATGTAATTGGGAGATACTTAATAAAATAAAACTACAAGAAGACATAGATAATGTTAATATGTGGTTTTCTTAGTCAATATGGAGCCTATGGGGATCCCTCTGTACAAGTTAATGGTCCCCATTTCTATCTGAGTTTGATCTCACTCCTCCAAGTAACTCCCTAAACCAGTGGTATCAAATTTAAATAGAAAAGTAGGGGCCACTCAACCTGTACAGAAGGATCCCTGTGGGCTCCATATCCACTTAGAAAACCACACATTAACATTATCTGTGTCCTGTTACATTTTTATTTTGTTAAGCATTTCCTAATTACATTTTATCTGATTCAGTCCACCTAGCAATGTTGCTGGCCCCTTGTGGTGTGTTTTGATACTTCTGTCCTAGAGCAATGATTAGTCAAGTGACTTGTTCAAGGTCACGCAGTCATAAGAAGGACTTGAATTCAAGTCTTCTTGTCTGTAAGGCCACCTGTCTACCCAATACACTGTGCTGCCTCTCTGCTATTTAGTTTGGTGTTAGTGAACTGTATATATGAAAAAAAAAATGGTCTGTTCATGGAGTGAGATCAAAAGACAACAGGTGGGCAGCCCACAGGTTCCCCTGGTGTCCTCTCAACAATAAGAGAAAGCAAAGAATGACCCTAGCAGGCTGGGCAGAGCCCCTGTGGTGGCCTGAAGGATCTGAACAAACGTCACACTGGATAGGCAGGCATGAATGCGGTGGTGCCCTAGACAAGGCTCCCCCTTTAGACAATTGTTAAAATTTTAGTGTGAGCATTTACGCCTTAGAAAGCAGCAAACCCTTTGACTCATTGTTTTGTTGATTGTCTAGATTTAAGAAAGTAATGGAGAAAATGTGAATAACGAAGATCAAACTTAAAAGTATGTCATGGGTACATTTCCCCCCTAAGAGTCAGTTGTTAAACATGTACTAGCAGAAACACCTGCATTAATAACATCATTAGGGAAAACGCTCATGTTAATTCGATCCTGGACCCATCTGATCACTGAATAATTTAGTAATTAGGAACTTTAAAGAATTTTAGTCAGTCAATAAGCATTTATTAAGTACTTACTGTCTATGAGTTGTGCTTAGTGCTGGGGATACAAAGAAAGGCAAAAGATAGTCCCTGCCCTCAAGGAGCTCACAGTCTAACGAGGGAAACCACATGCAAACAGTTATACACAAACAAGATCAATACGGGGTCAGCTGGAAACAACCAGTGGCGGGAGTTGCTGGCATTAAGAAGCACTGGGAAAGGCTTCTCAGGCGGGATGTTTGCAGGTCTGAAACGTTGTATAACAGCTCTTTCCACGATGTTCTACATGGGATTCAATTATATGTCGAGACACGGGAGTTCTCTTGGCACAGTTGATGTGACCTCCACTAGTCCTCGCCTGAGGTTGTAAGCAGGAGCTATAAAGCCACCCCCGACTCCAAGAAGTCCTGCCATTGTGTCTGCTCGATGGAGCATTGCATTTTAGAGCCAGAAGGGGCCTCAGAAATCTAGGCCAGCCTCCTAATTCTATAGGTGAGAAAACTGAGATCCAGAGAGGCCTGGTCTGACGTCATCAGGAGAAACTCCCACCTCCCCAGATCCTCCCACACAGAGAAAGGGTCCCCTGTGGTGCTGCCCGAATGCTAGTGTGCCCACACCTTCAGGCCTCCCCTCCCTGACTCTGAAATTATCTGTCCTTATTCCGCAGTAATACATCTTTGTGCATGTTGTCTCCCTCTATAGAATGTAAGCTCCTTAAGGGCAGGGATTATTTGAGGTTTATCCCCAGCACCCAGATAAATAGTTGGGATTTAATAGGTACTTGTTAAGAAGTATATGTGGAAGAAGCAGAGAGAGGGCCAGCCTCGAAGTCAGGAAGATCTGGATTCAGATTCTGCCTTTGATACATACTGGCTGTGGGAACCTCTCCAGGGCTCCGGATAAGTCTCTAAGGCCAAGATGCAGAGCAGGTGCTGATCTGCATTAGGACAGCTCAATTTCCAGATCTAAGGAAAGCACAGGAACAGTCAATAATTACACCATCGTTCGTTGAATTGAATGGTGCATGACAATTGACAAAGATCTGGTTGGGAAAGCTTTCAAGGAGCTTATGACTGTTGGTAGAGACATCACATACACAGACTTCTGTTGTTGAGTTGTTCTCAGTCATGTCTGACTCTTCGTGAACCCATTTGGGGTTTTCGTGGCAAAGATACTAGGGTGGTTTGCCATTTCCTTCTCCAGCCCACTTGACAGATGAGGACACTGAGACAAACAAGGTTAAGTGACTTGTCTAGGGTCACAAAGCTAGGAAGTGTCTGAGGCCAGATTTGAACTCAGGACGATGAGTCTTCCTGACTCCAGGCCCAGCATTTTATCTATTGCACCACCTAGCTACCCTACATACACAGATAAATAAGCACAAAATAATTGGGACAGAGGAGCAGAGGGAGGACCAGCCACTCGATATGTGAGTAAAGGCTTTGTTTTCTGGGCCTCAGTTTCCTTCTCTGTAAAAATAAAGGGTTGGACTAGAAGATCTTGAAGGTCCTGTCCAGCCCTAAATCTCACAATGTGTTGTGATAGTGAAATGTAAATTCCTCCTCCACTATTAACTTGAAACAGAGGATCCAGGTTCAAATCTAGCTCTGCCTATGTTAACTTGGGCCGGTCATCTAAACTCCTTGGTCCTCAGCTTCCTCATCTGTATAAAATGAAAGATTTGGACCCAATGACCTCTAAGGCATCTTCCAGATCTAAGTCTATGATTCTATGTCCATGATGTCCTGTTACAAAATCGTTTGGTTTCCTATGTCTTTTCCCTTCTTTTATGTCATAGGGTCATGAAATGTTAAAGCTGAAAGGGATCTTGGCAATTTATCTTGCCCAGGCTCCCCAATTTACAGAGGAAAAACTGAGACCCAGAGAGGTTGCTACTTACCCGTGATCACACAGCTAGTCATTTGTAGGTCTTCTGACCCCAAGTTCATGTTCCTCCTGATATATTACACTGCCTCCTTTACTTTTCTTATCCATAAGAAATGCCTGGTACATAGTAAGTACTTAATCCATGCCTTATCAATCTATCTGCCTATCTTTTAAAAAAAAAGAAAACCTTGCATTTTATGGTAATTTTCTAATTCTACTCTTGGTAGGAGAGAGGAGAAAGTTTTGGGGTTTGGTTGCATATAATTCAATTCAATAATCATTTATAAGACATTATTCTGTGTGTGTCAGCATGCAGCTAAAAGCGTCAATTCTTTGGTAGCAAGATGTTGGGAGAAATACAAAAGTGAATATGACAAAGACCCTATCTTCAAGAAGCTAAGGATCTACTAGGGGTAGGGGACACAACAGACATACAAGTATAATATAAAGTGGAATATGAAAGTTCCATGAAATGTGCAAAGTGCTATAAGAGTTCACAGAAAGAAGGGAACAGTTCTGATTAGGAGGAATCAAGGAAACCCACCTGGAGGAGGTGCCATTGGAATTGGGGCCTTGAAGGATGGTCAGAATTTCTGGAGAAATAAGGGGTAGGGCACATTTGAAAATATGAGCAAAGACAAAGAGGTGGGACAGTGAGTGGACTAGTTTGTCTGGTGCAAAGGACCAGAGAATACCACAAGGCAAGGCTAAAGAGGTGGAGTCCATATTTCACACATTTTTCCCATGTTTTTTGCTCTTATCTCTCAGAGTTTTTATCAAGTTTTGTTCTTGTTTCTAATCACTTTGCTGAAAGTTTCTGTTTTTATTTTCACTCTAGTAGGGACTGAATTTCCCTCATTCTCTTTGAGTATTTCCTATTCCTTGGTTTTGATGTAGTATCTTGCATTTCCCAAACACCTTATAGAATTTTCCTCTTGTTCAATCATGTTCAACTCTTTGTGATCCCATCTGGGGTTTTCTTGGAAAAGATCCTGGAGTAGATTGCTATTTCTTTCTCCAGCTCATTTAACATATGAGGAAACTGAGGCAACCAGGGCTTAGTGACTTACCCAGGGTCTCACAGCTAGTAACCATCTGAGGCCAGATTTGAACTA